CGCCCTCCTCGAGCAGACTGGGGAACCCTGCACCCGCGTTGTTTACAACGACATCCAATCGTCCCCAGATTTTGGCTGCCTCGGCAACGATGGAAGTGATGGCGCCAGAGCCTGCTGTGACGTCGAGTTCTCGAATGGCGACGTTCGAGTTGCTCGCAAAGTGCGTTAGAGAGCCCAATGACCTCGAGGTTGCGATTATGCGATCGCCGCGCGCAAGGGCAGACTCGACGAGGCATTTGCCGAACCCGGAAGAGCTTCCTATGGTGTGTTCCTGTCAGCAAGCAGGTTGGGGGAGTTGAAAACCCGCCTGTGATGAGCCAAACAAGAGGCACAGGAGCAACGTCTGTCATGGTTAGAAGAACGAACGACGTCAGCACTTGGCACGATACACTCGGCAAACAAAGGATATTTTGTTCAAACAAAACGATACATTTTACTGGATTTCTACATTAGTCAACTCAAAACGCAGCGTCAGGCATACCTACCGTGTTATTTGCTTCTCGCAGCTCCTCGAAAAATGACTGGACATCCGCCTCACCGACAACTTTTCCCGCTTCCGCAAAAGGTCGCAGGTACGACCGCAGCTTATCCCTGGCGATGAATGTAAGATGTTGAAGGTACATAACCCTTGCAGTATACCTCATCGTGTTAAACGCAAGAATTCCGTCGATTGCCCGGTCTCGCGGCAAACGCTCGAGGGCACGCATTCCGAGTTCCTCCAAGGATAGGCCTGAAAATACGATGAGTGAGGTTGGAAGCGAGAGAGCAGGGAGAAGAGTACCGGAATCAGGATCTTCGGGGGGTTCGTAGGTCTCTTCATCTTCGAGCAGGTACGAGTGGGCTTCAAGCGAAGGTAGACACTGTGCGGTATGAGGTCAATGGACCAAATAGGCGATGTGGTCCACCTACAGAGTCGCAGCGGCACCACTTGGTACGGAAGTCTTCAGTAAGAAAAGCATCGCCCGTACAAAGAGCCGCATCCCAATCCACGATATCGTCCGCGTAGGCCGCTTGAACGCTAGCGACTGCGGCAGGAGCAAGGCAAGGCCTGGTAGCCTGACGAAGAAAGTTCCGACTCAGTCCGCACTCGCTTTGCAGCAGGTTCAGCTTCGGTCGGAGACGGTGGACGCTTGTCTCCTGTACTATGAGGTTCTTCCGCGGGTGCGCCTCCAAGTGGGGCCCATGGCGAATGAACATCCTTGCGGGTCACGGTCATAACGCCAGGTGTCCCGACGATACGTTGTAACGTGGGGATGGTCCGTACACATGCACGACAGACGAATGCGTCATATTCGGACGCCGATATGAGAGGCGGTGGTAGACCAGAGGAAGATGCTTCAGAGGCCGCATCGTCAGCTTCCTCCTCAGCCGGAGGCTCAGCTTCAACGGCTGTTTCGGGACGCTGGCGCAGGAAGCAACATGATTCGTGGAACCAGTCTTCGCAGGAAAGGCACTGAAGCATGGTCTCGCGCTCGATCTTGGCATCATATGGGCGTCCACATCTGCAGAACTGATTCTTGAAGTTTTGGCCGTACTGGTTCGAGGTGTTCGGAGGTTCGCGGTCGCTGTGCAATGCGCATGGATGTGCGACGGCTGTGGTTGGACAGTCGCAGCGGAAATTTCGCTTGGGAAACCTGTAGATGGTTCATGGATGACCCACGCAGTCTACAAATCGCGTACAATTCAACCTGGTCATGATCTGTGTGGCACGCAACTGAGCATGCCGCGCAAAAACCACGCGTCTCTGGACAAGTCAGACAAAGATATACCGCTTGCCTGCTAGAATAGTAAGATAGACGCGAAATAAACGCGGAATTTACCGCAAGGCTCCTAGCGCGTATGTACAATGCGAGAATTGGTGAGGGAGAGCCTCGCCCTAACAGCATTTAGCTGAGTCCAACTACGAACTGAAAGCCCTTACAGCCTCTTTTAAAAGCTCAGTCCTGGGACGCAATATAGTCCGCCAGAGTTTCCTGACATATTTTGAGAGATTTAGTCGAGATGGAGGTTGAGAGCAAGGCCGCGACGCGTCGTCACATCATTGTGACATCCTGCCGGTGTACTTTGAACCCTGCATCCAGCATCGGTGAAGAGCATTGCAAGCTGTCCGTTCTAGTTCCGAATCCTATTCTTCCCAAATTCTCAAATTTCCATATCTCCGCGTCCTGCCGATATCCTCCGGAAGGCACACGGAAACGCCCACTCTTAAAAGGACTGCCGTTCAAAGATATCCCGATCTCCACCATGGCGACGACTCCGGCCAGCAAACCTGACCCCATCCTTCTGACCCTCTTTTCCAACCGCTTCATGAGTGTGGCGGAGGCAATGGGTCGTAGTCTGCAGCAAACCTCTATCAGCACCAATATCAAGGAGCGCCTCGACTTTCTCCTGTGCGCTGTTTGCTCCAGACGGCGACCTTGTTGCCAATGCTCCAATGATTCCTATACATTTAGGCAGCATGAGCTTGTGCGTTCGTTGCAAGCCCTCCATCCTCGTCTGACAGTATCGCAGTGCCGTCAAGTACCAAATGAGATTGCATGGAAATTCGCTGAAGGAAGGCGACGTCCTCATGACCAACTCTCCACACGCAGGCGGATCGTGAGTCTCCACGAATGCTGTTGTTGTGCCCTAAGAGTTCTTCCGTAGACATCTTCCCGACTATAACAATCATCACCCCGGTCTTCGACCCAACCTCGAAGGAGATCATCTTCTTCACAGCATCGCGGGGTCACCATGCGGACATTGGGGGTATCCTGCCAGGCTCGATGCCGCCGACGTCTGTCAACATTTTTGAGGAGGGGGCAGAGATTATCAGCCTCAAGATTGTCGATGGCGGTGTGTTCGACCGCAAGGGGCTCGTCGAATACATGGTCGAGAAGCCGAGCCAATATCCCGGGAGCTCTGGATGTCGAAATATACGGGACGTAGAGAGCGATCTCAAGGCGGTATGTGCCCTCCTTCTGTTTTTGCGACCTGACGGTTTCTACCAGCAAATTGCGGCTAACCATAAAGGTACTCAGCTGATCCATGCAAGTGAGTGCCTCCGAGCTCTCAAGACGCCGTTCCTCACTCCGTGGAAGTCGTGGAGGACTACAGCCTACCAACTGTGCAAGAATACATGTACCACATCCGCGCCAACGCCGAGATGTCTGTGCGGAATCTGTTGCGCGATGTGGTGAAGCGCACTGGGTTCCACGACTTTGGAAGCCGTTGATTATCTCGACGACGGCTCTCCCATCCAGCTCAAGGTCGATATCGACGAGGAGGCTGGGTCTGCTGTCTTTGATTTTGCAGGAACAGGATGTGAGGTTCGGGGGAATCTCAACGCACCCATTTCGGTGGTGCATTCGGCGGTGATCTACTGCATGCGCTCCATGCTCGACCTCGATATCCCGCTTAACGCCGGGTGCCTTGTGCCTCTTGAGAGTATGTATTCAATACGCTATTTTGCGTTGCAAGCTGACTTTCTCATCAGTCAAGATTCCGCCAAAGTCACTCTTGGCGCCGTCGCGAACCGCGGCTGTTTGCGGCGGAAATGTCCTTACATCTCAACGGATTGTTGATGTGGTCCTGAAGGCCGTTCCATGCTGCCGCGGCCAGCCAGGGTTGTACCAAGTATGGAAACAAGTTCCCAGCCGCATCCACTAACCGTACTCTAGCAACTTGACGTTCGGCGTTGGTGGAAAGGACAAGGACGGCAAGAATATTCACGGGTTGGGGCTACTACGAGGTCCTGTCAGGCGCTGCCGTAGTGACTGCCGGCTCAATGTTTGCAGACGATTGCCGGGGGTTCTGGCGCGGGGCCGTCGTGGCATGGCACCGATGGTGTGCACACACATATCACGAACACCAGAATAGGTGCGTGGAACCGCTTTTAGGCAAAGAGGCCTCTGCTCATAGCATTTAGGCGATGTGGAGATTCTCGAGCGTCGGTACCCTGTTCTTCTCCACCAGTTTGGTCTCCGGCAAGGGTCTGCTGGGGCGGGAAAGTATCGCGGCGGCGAAGGCGTCATCCGCGAGCTCGAGTTCCTCGAGCCAATGCAAGTATCCATTTTGTCAGAGGTGAGCTCTACTTTTTCTTGGGAAATGCTGCTGAAGGGTTGGGGCAGCGACGGACTCGCCAACCGTACGGACTAGAGGGCGGAGGCCCCGGTGCGCTGGGACGTAACACGTGGATCAAGCAGTTGCGGGAGGAGGACGGCGACGACACCAAAGAGAACAGCGCGCTGGGTGAACGAGAGATTAACATCGGGGGCAAGGCGACAGTCTGGATAGGCAAAGGCGATCGTCTCAAGATTGAGACGCCAGGAGGCGGCTGCATGGGGTACTGGCAGCACAAGCGAGGATGCCAAACACGTCCATAGCTGGGAGCCGAGGGGCTCGTTTGCGGAAAGAGCTGCAGTGCAGGCTGGATTTTAAAGTGTAAGAGAGTGTAATATCAGCCTTGGAGCAAGGACAAGTCGAAATGTCGAGCGAACGAACAGAGATACTTGACATGAGGGCTGTATACTTATTCGAACGCAATGGTGCAGCTGCTAATTCCGTCGCAGCAATTGCAAGACATGGGGTTCACTAACGCGTCGCAAAATGTGCGAGCATTGCTGGCGACCGGTGGAAACGTTCTGCGATTGAGTATATCCTTGGAGGCGGAGGAATATGATAGATAACTCATACTGTACTTTTGTAGCGATACACAGAGAGGTAATGTTCAAAATCTTGGAATACCAGGTATGCAAACAACCGTACGCGATGGTTTGTGAACCTAGTCAAGAACTCGCGACAAACGATCGCGCTGCAACTCTGCATCGAGCTATCTCGGCCTCTGGGAGCAAATGGCTTCCGGAAAAGTGCTCACCGGAATTTTTAAAAAGGCTGTATAAGGCATTGACACAGAAGCAAAAATCTCAGCTGCCTGGTCTAACAGGGCGACATACTTAAGGGCTTCCTGATCCGCAACGATTTGGTGCAAATCTTGACATACGATCTCCGAAAACAAAAAGTCTCAACTGCCTGGATCGAACAGGCGACACCCAGATTCCGCAAGGTCTCCTTTACAGTCTGATGCTCTTCCAACTGAGCTAAGCTGAGTATATATTGTTCTGGCTTTCAGGGCGTGTAAGAATCATCGAAAACGAAGGATTGGTTGGCGAGATACAGGCGCAATGATCCAGTGATGGTGTGTTACTTGATGGTCACGTCCAAGACATACGACAAAATCACTTTATTTTGTGCAGTAACAGTTTGATTCTACTCATCCTCGCTTTCGTCCTCGCGAACGGCCGACAAACCCAGAATGAGATTGCGAATATTGGAGTAACACCGGGGAACCATGCCACGATACATTCTGAGTGGGTAAGTACTAGACTTTCACGTGCTTCTTACCGGCTTTACATTCAAATACACGTAGGATTACAAGTGTTATTATTACGAGTCATCGTTTTCAAACCCCCCCTTGGTGCTAAACCGACGCATGCGTCAGTGACGTGGAGACGTGGCCACATTTTGGCCCGCCCAACAATGACGAAACAGTGGAAATGTGTCCGGAGGAAGCTGCTGCACATATAGATAAACGACATTGATTTGAATTCGCCAGCCAATTTACAAAAAAGACATCTACACGTACAACCACCATTGAATCAACAAAATAACATCTAAGCATTAGCCCGAGCAATCCGTGGATAGTTGGTGCGCGCCTGGTGAGCACGGCGAGCTGCTTGAACATTCCTGCGGTTGTTGCTTGCATGGGTGCCGGCAGAACGAGCACCAGCTTCCATAGAAGAAACACTGGGCATGATTGAGGCATGCTCTGAATTGCCATCGAACAACCTGTGAACATAAGCTGCTACCCACGATGGGATACCCAATAACACACCATTCTGCATTGCGTTCAGTGCGGACGGCAACCCCATACTCAACATAGGCAAAGTTGAAGTCGTTGCGCGTGCAGTTCTCCTTCGCGAGCTGGAAGCATGGATGGAGACAGCCATCATCGATGTCTTCATCAGCGTGGATGGTGCTGAGGAAGTTCTCACAATGGTAACCAGTCAGACCATACCGACCCAGGAGGTTGAGTTCAGCATCTAGGCATAGATCCTTGTAATGCTGAGGTGCGCCAGACCAGATTGCACGCGCTCCTTCTACAAGGAGCTCGATTGTCTATCACTCGTTAGTTATGCTCTCTGTGCAACAGAAATACCGCACCAAAGCTTGCCGCATCAAGGCGTGCAAGTCTTCTGCTGTGATTCCGCTGTGAGCAGCATAAGCATTATAGATATCGCCCAGGACACCACCATTAGGCAGTCGAGAGCCAAAGGCGGTCATGGTCCCAATCGCTGACCACTTAGCAAGTGCTGCTCTCCGTCGAAGCCCACGTATCTGCACATAAGAGTGGTTTTCTTCTAAGATCTCCATTATGTCTTCAGAGAAGGTTCCGAAGCTGACACCGCCGACCTGAGAGTAGTAAGCCTCATAGAATTTCAGAGAAAACAATTGCACAGACCAGACAACACTTTCCGTCAATCTCGCACCAGAAACGTGTAATGTCACGTCCACAGGTGGCACGGACAGTGGGTCGGGATTCGTAATAGCTCAAACCGAGTTCATCTGGAGAAATATAGTGCTGAGGCTTGGTCTTGCTGGCCCCCTTTCCCTTCTTCTTTTTCGACTTCTAACAAACATCAGTAATGAATAAATAAGCAAAGGGGGAATGCTTACCTTGTTTCGAGCTCTAGCACGAGCCTGAGCAAGTTGTGAGCAAACACATTAATAACTCTTAACGAAATCCTTACCTCTGGTGGTATATAATCAGGGCGCAAAATATCCGCACCAACGGCATGGGTAATGGCATAGTCCTTCAACCTGGCAAGCTCCGCTTTGGACTTTCGGAAGACCTCAATATTCCGGCCGCATTGTCGTTCAGGGGATTCCTTCTGGCATTTAACACAACAAGTATCCAACCACCACATCGGCAGTGTTTGCACATCTTGCTCTCCCACAGGAAACTCCACGCGCTGGCGCATCAACTTCACGCGGTCCTCCCAGAAACGAGTAGCCTCTGCCTGGCGGTTTGCTTTCTTGGCTGCCGTGTGGTTTCGTGCTTTGGGGCTGTTCGGGGGTGGTGCAGGAGGAGGTGTGGGTTTGGGCGCAACAGCAGACATGGATGGGACGGGCAGCCGTTGAGTTCGCGTGGCAAAATCGCTTTGGACCTCCTGGATGAGCTGCCGCTGCCAGACGGTTTCTGTGATAACAGTGAAGAGGCGCGGGTCAAGACTCTCCACAGTCTTCTGGACGGCAGCATCCTTCCACTGAGGCTCTTTGGAAGAACGTCCGGCACGCGGCTTGAGCAGGTAACCCATGAGTGAGTCGTAAAGCTTCCGCGGATTCCAGTTGGCAACATCCTAAAAACGGTCAGGTATCTAGTGAGGAAGCAAAAGCAACGTACCCCGCTTTTCCACCTGCTCAACTTGCTTACTGGTCCTCTAATCCAGGAACACCAGTTTACTTCAAACGCAGCAGCTGAGTAGAGTGCAAACGCAGCCATGGGGTTATAGGACCATGGATGCATCTCCTTGCGATTGCTCCAGAATTGGAAGAAGTCGCACTCAAAATTGGTGAAGGCCGTAGTTGGATTGATAGACGTGTCCTACAAAAGGTGGTGTGGGTAGAGCCAGAACACGAGGACAAACTCACAGTGAGAACCTTTGGGACTTCAGGTTCTTCGGGAAGGGGATACCAGGTATCCAGAAGGAGCTTGAAGGCAAGCTTCCAGTCGTGTCGTCGGAAGGAGGGAACTAGAATGTCTTCGTGTGTCCGCTCGATGAAGCTATCTTCGGCGCAGACTCGGATAAGTACGGCCAGCAGACCAGAGCTCTGGTTTACTTCAACAACAAGCACAGTATAATGGAGAAAGATGGACCTTGAGCTCAGCGAGCCATTCATCATTACTATACACACGCTTCCGCAGGTCCTTCAACCAGACAACATCATCAACCAGCAGGTCGACTGCAGTAGCAACCACATCTCTATTCCCAGCCTTGATCTGCAAAGTCGGCATTCAGAACGAGCTGAGAGGAACAAATGCAAGGCGAGCACACCGGGTAAAAAAGATCATAGACATGAGTGCGGATCGTCTTGAGTCGACCTTTGGCCTCGGCGAGCTCGTTTTCCCGATTGAGCTTTGGCCGCCGCAATTTCCCCTTCGCGCGCTTGTTCCTGTCTTCGCCAGCTTTGCTGTTCACCTCTGCATCCTCACTTTCACTCTCTTCAACCTCCATGCTAACATCCCCGTCGACATCTACAGAAGCCAGACGACTCTGGCCGGGTGTGTCCACGTAATCCGAGTCCGAGTCCGAGTTGTCCAAGTCTGTGTCTGAGGCCGAGTCCTCCATCGCAACATTGTCCACTGGCATATCTCCCATAAGAACATCCCCATCGACGTCTCTATACACCGGCTGCAGCCATGCATCTGCGTCTTCAAAAGAGTTGTCTTCGAACTCGTTGGGCTTAGTGTACTCCAAGTTGTAGCCGAAGGGTTGCAACGCCTGCTCAAGGACAGAGAATTGCTCAGCCAGATGAGCCTAGCCACTGTTCAGGACATATTGAAGAAACACCAACAAACCAACCTGAGGACGAGGTAGCCATTGCAAGTATTTGGTTTGCAAGAGTTTTAACCATTCGGTCACAACTTGCTGGTCGGTTTTGGAGTCAGTTTGCCCATAGCGCAGCTCTTGGAACTCGAAGAAGTCACGCATGACGGTGGGCAGGCGGTTGTCTTCGAGCAAGCTCATATCCAAGCCAAACAAGCGCTGGAACCAAGCGTAGACAAAAGATACCTATATCATGCACGAGCAAGGTGAGTGGCCAGCTAGAAGAGCAAGGATCGCTCACCCAAGAACCCGAGGTAATTAGTTCATCGATGACCTTTTGTTGGTGCGAGCGCGGCACGACCTTGTAGGTGAGATTAAGGAGCTGTTCCGCAAGATAGCCACCCTCAAGCGGCCAGATTTCGCGTTTGAGAGTCTCTCTCGACGGAGCTTGGGGCTCGGGCGCCCAGGTGAAGGACATGGTGGAACGTGGGAGTGAGTGTGGAATGTGGTGGGCTTTTGTTGTTGTAGTAAACAGCTGTGACAACAGGCAACCGCAATGCGACACAACTCAAGCACCAAGCCAAAAGGAATAGACTGTGCATGGTCATTGGGGCCTATAGACATACATGCAAGAACGTACAACTGGAAAAAAAAAAACCCTGGCGAGACGACGTCAGCAGCTTCGCAGGACTCCACAACGCTCACCCTTCCGAAACCGGCCTTTACGTTGTTCGTGTCGCCGCCGCAGGTGGGCGACAAAGGATTGATCACAGAAACGCGGCAAAGCAGTCGAAATCTGCAAGAACTACAACCGCCGCGCCTGCACCCTCGCGCACTGCCGGTTCCGCCACGCCTGCCTCGACTGCGACGGCAGCCACCGTGCACTCGAATGCCCCGACAAGTCGAATGGTCGCGCTTGAGCGTAACGCTGGGCTTGCAACCAGAAATGCTGATGAAGCAAATGCAGAAAGCTCAGGTAAGACCACGGTGTCGTATCGAACCGCGCTTACTTGTCTACAGGAGCCCTGGGACCAGCACAAGTTCGAGACGCTGATGGCAAGGTGGTGCACCGCCTGTGACCACCCATTCTCGGTCGTCGAAGAGCCTGAGTTCCGCGAGATGCTCGAGTACGCGTACTACCACAGCGCGCCCGGTAAACTCAAGCTTCCGACGTGCTGTAACCTGCGCAAGACAATCCTCGACCTCAACGCAAACATGATAGAAGGCTTCAAGGCAATGTTTGCTGTACGATCCCGTCTCTGCACCGTTTTACATTAAAGCTCATCGTTTGCAGGAAAATACATCAAACTTCACTCTGTCGCTGGATCTATGGACATCGGCAAACGGCTTTGCCTTCATGGCAATCACTACATCAGTAATACTGGAACTCTCGGTGTGTCGCATCGTTTAGTGGGCGTAGGTTCTAACGAATCCCTAGAGGAATGCCTCATCGACTTTCGGGAGCTAGTGGGCGAACACTCAGGCGAGAACATGGCGGCGGCC